ATGCTTCTGATTTTACTGATGATTATGCTGATAATTGAGACATAAGTGGATATATATTGTTGAGTTGTTGTATTTTTGTTGATGAAAATAAATATATTTGTAATATATATTTGAAATTGTATTATCGTATCGGATTATAATGAATTTATGTAAAATATTCATGTTTGATGTTTTTCCTTATGATACGTGTTGATTATTTATTTTTCTGTTTCGTCTTGAAATAAATCATAGTGATACTCAACTTAAAAGCGGCTTTGGTTTTTGTATACGTGATAGTGGCACTACACATACTATCTTGAAAAATAGAAAGTTTTTCACTGAATTTAAACCAACAAAGGCAATTGTATATACAATATCAGGTCCTGCAGACTTGATTGAAGGAATTGGCAAAGCCAAAATTACATTGCCTCAGGGAACAAAATTTGTGATTGATGAAGCTTTGTTCTCACCAAATTCCAGAAGAAATTTGTTGAGTTTTGATGATATATAGCGAAATGGGTATGATACGCAATCTATGACAATAGATGGTGTAAAATATTTGAAAATCATTAGACATGAGTCTGAAAAGATTCAAACACTTGAAAGGTTACAGCTCTCTAATGGTTTGCATTATACATACATTGAATCAAACGTGACAATGAAATCAAAATCCTTCGATCATTCGATGATAAACTTATGGCATGAAAGGCTAGGCCATTCAGGTTCAATAATAATGCGAAGGATAGTTGAAAATACACATGGACATCCATTGAAAGAACAAAGGATACCTCAAAGTAATGAAATGTCATGTACATCTTGTTCTCTTGGAAAATTGACATTGAAGCCTTCACCGCTAAAAATCCAAAATGAATCACCCATGTTTCTTGAGAGAATTCAAGGTGATATATGTGGACCAATACATCTACCAAGTGGACCATTCAGATATTTTACAGTTTTAATAGACGCATCCAGCAGATGCTCATGTATGTTTATTGTCAACCCGAAATGTTGCATTTGCAAGATTTTTAGCTCAAATCATAAAACTACGAGCTCAATTTCCTGACTATACAATAAAAAGGGTTAGACTTAATAATGTTGGTGAATTTACGTCTCAATCATTTAATGATTATTGTATGTCCATTGGAATCATTGTTGAGCATCCTGGTGCTCATGTACATACACAAAATGGTTTTGCAGAATCATTGATTACAAGACTGCAACTTATTGCTAGACCATTAATTATGAGAACAAAGCTACCTGTTTCTATTTGGGGCCATGCAATATTACATGCTGCTTCACTAAATACTCCCCACTGCAATTGGCACTTGGATTTGAACCAAATATTTCACACCTAAGAGTTTTTGGTTGTGCAGTATATGTGCCCATTGCGCCACCGCAACGCACAAAAATGGGTCCCCAAAGAAGATTGGGAATATACGTTGCGTTCGAATCACCCAGCATAATTAAATATGTTGAACCTTTGACATGTGATGTTTTTACAGCACGTTTTGCTGATTGCCAATTTAATGAGGTTATTTTTCCAAAATTAGGGGGAGAAAGAAAAGAAGTAGTAAATGATATCGCATGGAATGAACCATCACTATTGTATCTTGATCCTCGAACAAAGCAATGTGAAACAAAAGTGCAAAAGATTGTGCACTTACAAGCAATTGCAAATCAATTGCCATATGCTTTTACAGATACAAAAAGAGTAACTAAATCACATATATCAGCAGTTAATGCTCCTGCTCGTATTGAAATCCCAGAAATAAAATCTGATGATAAAGTCTCTCAAGAGTCTAAACCATGTTTAAAACGTGGGAGACCGATTTATTCAAAGGATAAAAATCCCCGAATAAGAAAGAGATCAGCAAATAATGTCAATGAAAATGTTCCAGAAGAACCAAAAGGCAAAGAAGATTCTCCTGATGAAAACAATGAAAAGGTGAATGAAGAAATCTCAATCAATTATAATAGTACAAAAATACTGTGGAATAGAGATGAAATTGAATATAATGATGAGATTTTCTCTTATGCTGTTGCATGTGAAATTATGAACGAAAGTGATGATCCTGAACCAAAATCAATTCAAGAATGTCAAAATAGATATGATTGGCTAAAGTGGAAAGACGCTATGCAAGCTGAATTAGATTCGCTTAATAAGCGAAATGTATTTAGATCCATTATTCTCACACCCAAAGATACAAAGCATGCTGGGTATAAATGGGTTTTTGTACGAAAACGAAATGAGAAGAATGAAATCACCAGATACAAGGCTAGACTCGTAGCTCAAGATTTTTCACAAAGACCTGGAATTGACTATGATGAAACGTATTCACCTGTTATGGATGCAATTACGTTTAGATTCTTAATCAGCTTAGCAGTTTCTGAAAAATTAGAAATGTGTCTCATGGATGTTGTGACTGCTTATTTGTATGGATCACTTGACAGTGATATTTATATGAAAATCCCTGAAGGATTTAAGATGCCTAAAGCTTCAAGTTCAAAACCCAAAGAAATATATTCAATTAAACTGCAACGATCATTATATAGGTTAAAGCAATCTGGACGCATGTGGTATAATCGTTTAAGTGATTATTTGACAAATACCGAATATACCAATAATGCTATTTGTTCATGCATTTTTATTAAGAAAACAACATCTGAATTTGTCATCATAGCTGTCTATGTTGATGACTTGAACATCATTGGGGCACATAAAGAAATTGATAATGTGGTTGCATACTTAAAGGAAGAATTTGAAATGAAAGATCTTGGAAAAACCAAGTATTGTCTTGATTTACGAATTAAACATATGCATAATGGAACATTTGTGCATCAATCAATTACACAGAAAAGATCTTAAAACGCTTTAACATGGATAAAGCAAATCCTTTAAGTATTCTAATGGTTGTCAGGACACTTAATGACGAAAAGGATCCATTTCGTCCTGTTAAAGATGATGAAGAGATTCTTGGTTCTGAAGTACCATATCTAAGTGCAATTGGAGCTCTTATGTATCTTGCTAATTGTATTAGACTTGATTTTTTTTTTTTTGCTGTCAATTTGTTAGCAAGACACAACTCATCTCCTACCAAAAGACGCCGGAATGGAATCAAGCATATATTTCGTTATCTTCAAGGAAGTATTGATTTGGGTTTATTTTACTCTAACGATTCGAAACAAGAGTTAATTGGTTATGCAGATGTAGGTTATTTATCTGATCCTCATCATGGAAAATCTCAAACTGGATATGTGTTTACATATGGAGGAACTGTAATTTCTTGACATTCCCAGAAACAAGCAATAGTATCTACTTCTTCAAATCATGCCGATATTATTGCATTGCACGAAGCTAGTAGAGAATCTGTATGGCTCAGGTCAATGATACAACACATCAAGACTTCTTGTAGTCTTCCAGTTGAGAAAATTCCAACTATTTTGTATGAACATAACGCAGCTTATATTCACTAATTGGAGAAAGGGTATATCAAGAATGATCGGACAAAGCATATCCCTCCGAAGTTCTTCGCATATACCAAAGAACTCACGAAGAATAATGACATTGATGTTCAATACGTCGTATCCAGTGAAAACTCAGCTGATCTCTTCACAAAATTACTTTCTACAGCATTTTTCAGAAAAGCATATTCATAACATCGGAATGGGTCGTTTACACAGCACGTGAAGAATTATTGATGTTATCATCAGGGGGAGATAATTACGCACTGCACTCTTTTTCCCTTCGCTAATTTTTTTTCCTATTGGGTTTTTATTTTAGCAAGGTTTCTAACGAGACAGTATATATAACTAGCGTAATTTATTTTGTCATTCAAGGGGGAGTGTTGTAAATAAGTGAATGACAAAAAGGTCAAAACCTATATAATAGATGGCAGAAAAATTAAGGCATGTTATCTATCATTCCTATAAATATGAGTGCTCATGCAATGAAAATTGTACACCAAAAATCTATCTTCATTCTACTCTCTAATTTCTACTCCTTCATGTTTCTTAAGTCCATAAAATATATTTCTTCCTTCCTTCATAAATCTTATAAGTTATCTCTTAAAATTTAGACTATTAGAAAGTTATTATATTAAAATCTCTACTAGAGAAGTTATAAATAAATAATCTCTAAATAAATTATTAATACCTTTGTATAGATCATTATATTTAGACCCTAATTTTATAATAGTACCAAAATTTTCTACCGCACCAAGAAAAAAATAAGGCAAGCAAGTTTTGACTTTTTGACTCGAGTTTGTACTTTGTACAACTTGATTGGATTTGATGTTGGTGATGACAGACTATTCTACCAATTAGTACTACAACGTTAGAGCAAGCACACACATCTTATTGGACTCCCCAACTCTTTCTAGAAGATAGGATGATCAAGTCGATGTCTTGGTTGCAGCATTATATGCTTGGTAGCCCCAAATTACTAGGACTGCATATTTAGAAGAAAAAGATGGAGTTTATTAATGTATACATATCTATAGTGATAAAAATGCAAAACTTTATCGTGTTATTACAGAGCATGACTAAATGACAATGATAAGGCGATGCGATATGAATGTGTCTGGGCATATATATATATATGATTGTGAAAAGTTGATTCTCAAACGTCATTTTTTTTTCCCTCTGGGTAAAGAAGTGGTTTTATACTGCAACGGATCGTAAATCAAATGGTAGTCCTTCGTTTGCACCATTGATCGAATATTGCTCAATCGATTCTTTATCTTTCTTTTTTATTTTTTTTTAAGACACAATGCCATAAAAATAAACAAAAAAAAAAACAAAATTGCATAATTAACGAACATTAAAATTTTTTCAATGACTACAATGTGAGATGTTCTTTAGTAAACCAAACCCATCTTCATAAATTAGGTAAAACATTGTTTTTTCTTTAAAAAAAAGAAATATAATAAAATTAGATCAGTCGCTCAGAAGTCGGATCAAAAGATCGAGGAATACTTTATTTTAATTTTTATTTTTTTTTGGAAAAAAAAGGGGGAAATTTAATCGAACCAAACTTCTCCCCCTGCAGCTACGTATGCCATTTCCCCTGTCCGGTCTTCGAGTTAGGCTCTCCGTAAGAAAAATCAAACCAGAAACCGATCAAACCGGTCCCCCCCACCACCCACACCCAGTATTTCTGTCCTCGTCATGCACACCTTCTCGTAAATTCAAGAATTCAACGTAATCTTGGACCTCTTGGGTCATGAAATCCACCTATAAATATACTCATTATGAACTACCCTTTAACGTTAATCATCACTAGTTTGTCTCAGAAAAAAAAAATCATCACTTTTCAAAGAAATTTCCAACCCCCCAATTCCACCTATATCAGTTATTCCTTTTAATATTACCGATTTCAGCTTACCAATTTTTCACGCACTCACACACTAAACAACTACGGAGGAAAGAAAACAGATAGTTTAGAAAATGGTTCAGCAGCTACACATATTCTTCTTCCCATTTTTGGCCCATGGCCACATGTTGCCTTCCTTGGACATGGCTAAGGTGTTCATCTCTCGAGGGATTAAAGCCACCATGATCACAACTCACTACCACGTCCCAATGTTCGAGAAGGCAATTGAAAGAAGCAAAGAATTGGGATTCGACATTTCCGTTCGAGCAATCAAATTCCCATCATCAGATTCCGGATTGCCTGAAGGAATCGAGAGCTTTGACCAGCTGAAGTCGGACGACTTGCTTCCCACCTTCATTTTGGCCACAACCAAGCTCCAAGAACAACTGGAACAGCTCTTAGAAGAATGCCGCCCGCATTGCATCGTCGCCGATATGTTCTTCCCCTGGGCGACTGAAGCTGCGGCCAAATTCGATATTCCCAGATTGGTTTTCGGCGGAACAAGTACATTTGCGATGAGTGCTATGGAATCTCTCCGACGGAACAGGCCTTACGACCACGTTTCCTCCGACTCCGAACCGTTTGTGGTGCCTGAAATTCCTCACGAAATAAAGATGACCAGAGGAGAGATTTCAGTGTTTGAGAGGCAGAGAGATGAGCAGGACACGGATTTGACCCGATTGTTTAATCGGGTGAGGGAATCGGATGTGAACTGTTATGGAGTGGTTGTTAACAGTTTCTACGAGCTGGAGAAAGACTACATTGAATATTATACCAAGAAGTTAGGAAGAAAGGCATGGCATATTGGCCCTTTCTTACTCTGCAACAAAGAAGTTGAAGATAAAGTAAGCAGGGGAAAGAAATTAGCCATTGATGAACACGATTGTTTACAATTGTTAGATTCCAAGAAACCCAATTCAGTGGTTTACGTCTGTTTTGGCAGTATGTCTAATTTTACCGTCGCCCAATTGCATGAAATTGCAAAGGGTCTTGAGGCCTCTGGCCAAGATTTCATTTGGGTTGTAAGAAATTGCGTCGACGAAGAAGACAGCGAGAAATGGTTCCCTGAAGGATTTGAGGAACGAATTCAAGGGAAGGGATTGATTATAAAAGGGTGGGCACCCCAACTTTTGATTCTTGAACATGAAGCTGTAGGAACATTCGTAACTCATTGTGGATGGAACTCGACGCTGGAGGGAGTCTGTTCTGGGGTGCCATTGGTAACATGGCCTTTGTTTGCGGAGCAATTTCTGAATGATAAACTGTTGGTTGATGTTCTGAAAATCGGTGTTGCTGTTGGTGCGAAAGAGTGGAGTAGAGTGGCTAAGAATATCATCAAAGGAGAAGCTTTGGCTAATGCAGTGGAGAGAGTCATGGTTGGCGAAGAAGCTGTGAAAATCAGAGAGAGATCTAAGGCATTAAAAGAAGCTGCAAAGAAGGCTATTGAAGAAGGTGGTTCCTCTTATTCCGATTTCAATGCCCTCATTCAAGAATTAAGTGAATATCATTCAAAAAGAAATTAATTAGATGACTAATTAAACAAGTTGTACTTTTTTATTTGGCAGCAGATATTAGAGACATATGATATTATCTGCATCGTTAAATTGTACCTTAATTTGTCATAGTTTTCCCTTTGAGGACATTGGTACTTCAATTGTGAAAAAACTCTTGTTCTACCATGGATGTTAGGGTTCATTGGTAATTCAGTAAATAAGCAAGGAGGATCCCGATTATTAATTTACTAATTTAGTTTTAAGGTCTGAGTTGGATTTTGATTTACTTAGTAGTAGTACTAAGTTCTACTACATTGAATTTATGGTATTTTTCTCTGGCGCAATTTTCAACAATGCACAATATTTTGTAATCAATTCCTTAATCATTGTCGCTTGTGTGATCAAAGTTGGGTGAAGAAAATATAGAAAAGTGCTATTGGGAATTGGTGCTACCTTCGGTTTTTTTTTTTGGTGGCTGCTACCTTCGTCATTGGAGTACAGAAGAGGACGAGACATTAACAATTCAAACTTTACATTGCCTTTTCCAAGTTTATTTTTATTATGATTATGAACACAAGTCCAATATGTCTGGGACGTCGCAGCCTCACTATCCTTATATCATGATAACACGTCGTCGAATGTCACTTTAGATGCCGACTACCACTGAAACAAGCAAAACAGTTGGGGTTGGATAGCGATACCATCATCTTTTGAGGTTGTAGTTATTCCATTACCATTATGCAAACACCGGAGCTAATAAACTCTGTATTACGTGCAACACGAGAGATCATGCTGTCGACGAAACTATGTAATTTGTCCTCATTGACAAATACACTTTTCTTTGTCCTAAAATAATTATCCAGCTTGGATTTTTATTTATAATATAAAATATACTAAAAATATAAATTTAAATTAAACAATTATTTTGAAATATCAAAATTGACGGAAATGATTGTTAAGTCGACCTGAAATCTATAGTACTTAATTAAAGCAGCAAACAAAAAGGACATGTGTCAGCACCATAATAAAAATTTTCCCGCCAAAAGTCATTTTCAGTACAAAATCATTTTTTACACGTGGCACTCTAATTAATTAGGAAAAAAAAAGATAGAATAGATAAATACATAAATCCCTTATTATAGCTTCATAAAAATATCTTAATTATAGGTATATACTAATCCTTTAAAACAACAATATTTAGTTAATAAAATCAAATTTAAGGAAATCCCCTTAAATCAAGTGAAACACCAGTAATGTCTTTCCAATCCCCAACTTCAAAGAATCTTTTTCATTCCTCTCCTCTCTCACACCCGGGCCTTTAAATCAATTACTTAAAATCTGACATCAATTATTAATCTATCTCTTTCTACAACAGAGAAAAAATACGCTGCCATGAAAGAAATTTGATTTTTTAAGGATGATTTTTTTTTTATTCTTCTGTTATAGATATTGGTTTATGATTTATGTAAACCCAGACATAAGTTAACTGTTACATATTAAATGTTGTAAATCTGTGTATAGATTTATGTGTAATAGCTCACATTCTGTCCTTTCAATCGAGTTTTTATTCTTCTATTTTTTTTTAAGAATGATTCGTATTTTTTATTTAATCAATTTAAAAATACAGGCGACATCCCGGGCATTCGCTCGCCCAGGATAAGCATTTAGTTTATATATGAAGAGACAATTTCCGTATCAAATTCTTTAGCATCGTTGACTGGAGACTTCTTGTCATTAGTCCATCTCCAAAAAAATCGTGATTTAACTATCATATTATCTGTCTCTTAATTGTAGTATAAGTATGTTATATTGTAGTCGTTGAAGTCGTGATGTATTTGCCTCCTCTCATTGAATCAAAAAAAATATTTCTTATCAAAATCATTGAACCTCATATTTCAAAATTAATTGATAATGTGTGAGATAATTTAAGAGATTTATGTACTCGTTTTAGACCCACACACAGACTGCTATGCCAAGATTCTTCCCAACATAGTTAAGAATTTCGACTTGCCTTCTTGTGGTGGCCACACATTTAGGAAGCAGTCGTAATTCGTTACGTAAACACAAAACAACAATCTGCATTATTGGAGTGGGTGATCAAACTAGAGTAATGTTAGTATTGCCTCCTTTATCAAATTCCTACTCGGATTTGAAATTAGTTCTACCTGTGATTGGAAATTCTCAACTATCGGGAGTCTTCTTGTTCCCTAATATTTTATTTTACTAAAGTATAATACCGATTGGTTTTTGCCCAAACTAGGAACTAACCAAAACAATTTATTCACAAAGTTATTTGATCGCGACCACTTTACTTAATGAGATGGAGTATGCTGGTGCATTCTCAATGAGGTCTGAATTTTCCAAGTCAATGATGAAGATTTATGAACAATGAAAAATGATTAATTTATTCAACCTTTATTTCCTTTTTGATTCGTGGCACAAAGAAGAAAACTCACTCCGGACAAAAGTATCATATGCGTAAAGTCTGGTGAATCTTGCAATTGAGATGATTATCTCTTTGATTACTCTTGTTTTCTTGTAGTACCATAAGCTCTCAATTCTTCTACTAGAGCCCAGAAAGCCAAATACGACGATCCACCATTTTCAACTGCCTTCTTTGCCAAACCACTCAATTCCTTTGCCCTGTTTCTCATTTCAACAGCTTCTTCGTCCACCATCACTTTCTCAATTGCCTTGGCCAAAGCTTCATCCTTCACAGCGTCACTCGAAATCCAGCTATTCTTATGTGCTCCGGCGCTAACTCCAATCTTCAATACATCAGTCAACAGCTTTTCATTGAAAAATTGATCTGCAAATAAAGGACAGGTCACCATTGGCAACCCAGAACACACACCTTCCAGTACAGAGTTCCATCCACAATGAGTCACAAATGCTCCCACGGCTTCATGTTGCAGAATCAAAACTTGAGGTGCCCAACCCGTTACAATCAATCCCTTCCCTTTAATTCTCTCTTCAAAATTCTCAGGGAACCATTTCTCTCTGTTTTCCTCGTCTATGCATTTTCTCACTACCCATATGAAATCCTGGCCAGAGGACTCGAGACCCTTTGCTATTTCATGCAGTTGGGCTGCTGTGAAATGAGACAAACTTCCAAAACAGACGAAAACAACCGAATTGGTCTCCCTGGAATCCAGCCATTTCAAGCAATCATGCTTATCGATGGATGGTTCCGATTCTTCTCCGTCGATCTGTAGAAACAGGGGACCTATATTCCACGCTCTGATCCCGAATGTTTCTTTGTTATAATTAACGTAATCCGATTCAAGCTCGTAGAAACTGTTAACTATAACGCCGTAGCATCCTGCTACTGAATCCGAAATTTTTTGAATCATCTTTCCAAAATCGGTTTGATGTTGGTCCTGGTCCTCCTTGATCAGGCTTTCGGGTATTTGAGCTCTGGTTAATTTAATTTGATGAGGAAAATCAGGCAGGAAAAAAGGGTCGGATTCAGAAGCGACTTCTTTGTACGGTTTGTAGCGCTTAATATTTTCGGCTACAGATGAATTGAAAGAACTTGACCCGTGAAAACACAATCTGGGTATGCCAAATTTTGCTGCAGAATCAGTAGTCCAGGGGAGAAACAAGTCGGAAACCAGACAGTCCGGTCTGCATTCTCGAATGAGCTCTTCCGTTGGTTCCCGCAGCATGGCTACGCCGGCTGAGAATTTGTTGAGCGTGTCCTCTGTTGTTACATCATCCAGACTCTCAAATCCCTCAGGCAAGCCAACTTCTGCCGCCGGGAATCGGATCGCGCGAACGGAGATTGGAAATCCTGAACGGAGGCTTTTCTCGATGGTTTTGTTGAACATGGCGGCGTGTCGGTGGGTTGTGATTAAGGTTGCTTTTATCCCCCGAGAACTGAACAACTTCGCCATGTTTATTGTCGGAAGCATATGGCCTTGGGCCATTAGTGGGAAGAAGAAAATATAGGGTTGATGTTCACTCATTATCTTCTGTGTTTCTTCTTCTTTGTTTTTAGGGAGAAGAAAGAAAATGTATAACTTGCAAATGTTGGAACTGTTTGAGTTGTTCCTTTTATGGAGGTGATCCAGCAGAGCTTTTCCCTTTAGAAATTTGGCGGTGAGTTTCAACTTTGACTGCTTCACAGTTGAGCAACTATTGACTCTTCATCGTGGTCAACACACAATGTAACGTAATTAGAGTGATTTGTCCTCGTTTTATAATTGTATGAAAATAGGCTCTATGCTTTCTTCTTTGCCAACAAGGGTTACCCAAATGGTAATGGGCATGGCATAAAAAACTTAGAGTCTCAAGAAATCTCAGGTTCAAACCCCACCAAAAACATTTAAGTACTGTCTATGCAGGCTTGCAGCCAAGAGGCCAAAAGCAGTCCCAGAGGTCAGTTTGCCTCAAAGGAGAGCGCGTAAGTAGACCTCACAAAAAAAATGTTTTCTTCTTTGCACTAATGAGTCTTGTAGACTACTAGTGTATATATATATTATATAAGAAACAAAAACCCCCCTTTCAAACAACACCTACAATTGTCACATGGTAAGTTCAAATTACTAAATTGCCATTTTTTTTTTCATCAAAAAATGCAAGTTCATTCATTCATAGCAGCAAGACGTAAGAGTTAAACAATCAAGCCGGATCACAGGTTGACATCACACCATCTCTACAAAACAGAGTCGAGGCCCATAAGCAAAATTTATTTAAACTTCCATCACCACTACAACCCTACAATGGAAAGCTCAGTTCTTTATAATCAATTCGCTTAAAACAGAAGAACCCTACAAACAGGGAAGGATTAACAACTAATAATAATAATAACTGGGTTGAACTATATAAGCACTAACCAAAGATCATCTGCTCCCTTTACCTTTTTAAATTCCTTTATTCTTTTTTTTTTTCCTCCTTTAATTCGTACCGTAATGTCTAAATAATTTATTTCTACCACTTAAAAAATAATCTATCTTTACTTAAGCGAATATGTTTTTATTTACACATTAGTAATGATCAATCTTTCCACATCATATTTTTTTACACACTATTAACATGTTAAATCTTTTCATTAGTGACGATGAACAACATCTTAATCGGATAAAATTTTGGTTTCAAAAAATATTCTCTTTATCTCTCTATATAAACACAAAGGAAAAAAAGAAAATTCTCATTGATCTTGCTTCGGCCGTTGTGGTGGTGCCATTACAGGTATTAAAATTTAAATAATTTTATTTCCACATGTTATTTGTTTGGCTTTTATTATTTTCTTCTTTTCCTGATCAAGAATAGTGTTATTACTATTATTTTTATGCGTCCACCCCTTAAAGTTACCGTAGCTGTTGCAAGATAATATGATGTGATTTCTTATATGGTTACTTACCCTAGAATTTTTGTATGATTTTCGTACTATTTGGATTGAATTTATCAATTAGGTTTTTGTTACAAAGTGTTATTTTTAAATTTTTTTTTATGTTTCATTAAATTAGAGCGGTTTTTTTTTTTTAATTATGGAGTCTCAATTGAATTGATCAATTAGGTTTTTGTTAAAACGTGTGATTCTTTTTTTTTTAAGCGTATACCCTTCGTAGCAAGCTTATTACAAAGCTATTAAAATCTCCAAAACTAAGTATTGATTTCGCACGACTAATGGAGAACGTCAATAAATCATCTTACTAGTATTTAAACATATTATGGTGCTTTTATATTTTGCCTAACATTTACTTAAAGAAGACATGTATTCGATCAAGTTTATTTATATTTAGTAAGTAATACTTATAAAATATTTATAAAACATACTTGGTGAAATACAATTTTTTTTCCAAATACAAATATTTCTATGATCACAATTACAAAAAAATTCTAAATTCTTCAAACATTTCTAAAATATATCAGCCCAAATAAAAAATATTTTTTTTTCAAATATAAATATTTCTAAGATCTATAGATAGACTGGGCCACAGTCGCGCATTGCGCGACCAGACATCGCTAGTATATGTATATATATATATATATATATATATATATATATATATATATAAAAGTACTAATGAGTCTTGTAGACTTTTCCACTGATACGCAGTATAAAAATATCAAAAAAAAAGCAATAATGAGTCTTGTAGACTTTCGAGTGATACACAGTAAAAACCACCAAACGTATCAATTTCTTTCACCATAGTCAACTTAGTTTACAGTTAACGTATAAGAATATTGTCCAGATATCTGCTCATGAGAAGGATCCACCCCGGAAAATATAATGTTGACTCCTTTTGTGTTTATGTTAATTGTGTTTTTCTAATAATACATATACACACTGCAAAAATGATAACTAAAACTTTAATGGAACAGTGATTAAATTCCTTTAAAATTTTTAATCGTGCTATCAAAACTGTGACGCCAAAAAGTTTACTCATTAAATTCATTAGTTCAGTGAAAAATACTCTCTCTGTCGCAAAATTATTATACAGTTTAGATTTTCACTTTTAGTTTAATTTGTACTACAAATCAAAATCCAAATTGTACAATCATTTTGAGATGAAGAGTTACCTAATTGGAGGTTTTAGAAGAACATATATTTTGGAGATTGAGAAAATGTAACCAAAAAAAAAAAAAAATGTTCAATGGGAATTTAGCTCTATCTTTGCATTGCACTATCGCCAACAAGGAGTTGTCCAAGTGGTAGTGGGCATAGCATCAAAGCTCTGAGATTCTAAAGAGGTCTCAATTTCAAACCCCGCCATGAGCACTTTAAATGCATATCTATGCAGACTTGCAGCCAGTAGGCCAAAGGCAGTTCCAGATATATATAAATGTATCAGTATAAGCCGAGCCCAATAATCTAAGCCCAATTCAAGGCCCTACTAGACTAAGTTTGGCTTACCCAACCATTAAATGAAAATGCCCATACACATTCAAGAGCCAGCAAGATCCATTAATATAACAAGAAATTAATTCCCTTCAATGCTAGCTAAACCGTATCACTAATGACTAACCAACCATTTTTTTTTCTTTTGACACATAACTTTTTACGTTGACGTATGAACAATTAGCCAAAAAGTACGAATTTTTTTTTTAACCTGAAAATCAGATTTAGTTGTTTTGTCTTTTGCTTTTAAGTTGTTGAATAATCTCGAGATAAGAGGAAAGTCTAGAGGCTGGAAGTTGGTGCATTTAAGCGTGCTTGGCTCAATAACACTTGGATTGACTCGATAAAGTAGGGTTTAACGTTTTTTTTCATCCAGATAATTGATGGTGTAAACTTGGAGGCTTGATTTATCAGGAAATAAACCTCTTTTCGAAAGTATTTCTACATAAAAGTGTACTGTACTGGCATGCGTCGAGTCAGACACATTCAAAATCTTTTGCAATTACATTTATATCACGTTACTTTTCTTGTGAACGTGAAAAAATAATATTTTTTTCGTCCCAAAATTATTATTCAGTTTGAATTATTATTTTTAATCTATATTAAAAATGAAAATTTATAATAAATAATAATTTCGGGAACGAAAGGAGTTTATGTTATAATGATATCACAGAATCTTCAATCGAGCACACCAGGATAAATTCGGGCATAAACTAGATTATGCCATGATGGGCACGTCGAAAATTCTTTTGGTCAATCTGGCCTCAACGAGAAGACGAATGTTCATGAAAAAAAAAGAAAAGAAAAAGATAAACCCGTGGAGCTACCTTGGTTTAATAATGAACAAAAGTATACTTGTCTTAATAACGGGAGATAAGCTCTAATTGACACATATTGCAATTGCACTACTTTATAATGTGACGTGATTAGCATAGTGCTTCACGGGAGAAAAAGAACACTTTCCCTGCCAAAAAAGATTCTGTATGAACTATGTGAGGAAGGCAAATTTTGTTGGAAGCATATCAAAGTTTAATTAATAATAGTATTATTTAATTAGAGACTACTATTTCCAAAAGCTGCATGTTGTTGGATAATGCCAGGCACGCACTTTATTTTGCCTCCCACTAAGTGCATCCAATCTTTGTTGGCTTGTATAATAGGGTAATTCTTAAAAATCTCAAATATATTTTTTTGGCAATTTGTAACCTCACATAAATGTAGCTTAAGAATAAGCATTTATCCTAATATATTTGAATATGATTTGTTTACCCGAAAAATGCTACGAATTAACACGGTAAAATATCAACGATATTTTTATACGAAAAACGTCAACTATCTCACTGATAAGAAATGTTACTCCCTCTGTCTTAAAATTATTGTCCATTTTAGGTTTTTGTTTTTAGTTCAGTTTTTACTAAAACTAAAAACTCAAATTGGATAATAATTTTAGGACAGAGGGAGTATATGATAGTCTAAAATAGTGAAGTCCATATAGAATTAATGATACAAGTGATTCCTAATTTTCTTGTGTGTGGGTATATTAGGTTGTAATGATTATTTGGTTAGACCAAAACCTGAAAGATGGGAAAGTTAATTAGGTGTGTTTGTTATTTGTAATCTAACTGCTTAAAAGACTCAAAATCGACCGTTAACTGCGGGTCGAAGCTTTTTAATCTTGCTTTTTTGTCAAAGACAATTTGACAGGCTCTCGCTTTCCCTCATTGTTACGTGCAAAGAGTGTTTTATCTTTTTCCAATCTTCAAAGGATTGTTGATTACAGTACATTTTTTTTTTTTTTTGGAAAATCAGTACAAAGGAAGAAGAATCAAAATATAGGAGTTTTTGTTTTTCCCAAGAGATTAAACTGAGAAAATTGTACAATCCAGGGCAATAATTTTAAGAAAATTAATGTTGGTATTGCAATATTAGTATTTATCTAAATTGATATGATAACTAAATAGGAGTGTGCTAATTGTCTAACTAAATACATTTTAAACGTGAGGTATAATTAAAGGTGGTTCTTAACTACGAATTACTTGCAGCTTTCATAGAATTTACACGTGAAAAATTCAGCAAAATATTTCATATTTCAATCACTATTTAAAGAATGAACGAAGCAACGACAGCATGAAGTTGAATAGGACAATAGTTTTTTTTTTTTTTTGATGGATGTGGTCAGAGTTTTGGGACTACTTACGGACTGACAAGGAAAGCTCGTCACCGGAAAAAAAATAAAAATCTCCCTGCACCCCAAATTACTGCGTTTATCCGGCCCTTTACCATAAAACATTTGTGATTTTGTCCACATTTGGTTATTACAGATTTCAAACATAAACATAATTACACAAGTTATTAATTTCACATCATGGCTAATTAAGCAAATATCATTGTAATGAACTCAAATTTCATAAAATATTCCATTTTCCGCATCCGAAGTTATTCAAAAATTTCAAAACACGTCCCTGTCCCTCATTCTTCTTCTAATTTAAATTTGGTTCAACTCATCAGTTCAAAATCAAAGCTCATCTCATAGAGACTCGTGCCATTCTTTAACATCCTAGATTCCTCAATCTCGCTCTCTCTCTCTCTCTATCTCCTTCTTCTTCTTCTCCTAGTATTCTTTTCTTCTTCGAAACAAAAAGTTAAAAACAAGAAGAAGAATAAAAATGAAGACCGGCACCAAACTCATACTCCTCCACCCTTCCTCTCTTCACAAACAAGGATCAGCCGCCGCCTCCGCCGCCGCTGCCGCGGCGTCCTACCGAGTTTGGCTCCTCGTTTTCGTTTCCTTCTTCACTTTAGTTACTCTCCTCACTTTAATCACATCCAAAGAGGCATTGTCCTCCGCCGCCGCAGCGGCGGCCGGGAATTCCCCCGGGGGTGACAAATCCGTCAAGGTTGCTTTACCGGACTCCGTTTTCGACGCATTGGTCCACTACGCCTCCGTCAACACCACCGCCGTCACGAACCGCTTCTCTGCATCTGAGCTCGGTGCTGTCGCCGCCGTGCTCCGGCGGTGCAACGCCAACAAGGGGAAGAAACCGTGTAATTTTCTCGTATTTGGGCTGACCCACGAGACTCTGTTATGGAGCTCGCTCAATTACAATGGCCGGACGGTTTTCGTGAGCGACAACGATTACTTCGTTCGCCGGCACGACGAGAGGCATCCGGAGATCGAGGCTTACGATGTCCAGTTCACGACTAAAGTGCGGGAAATGTACGAGCTTTTGGCCTACGCGAAAGAGCAGCTGAAAAGTGATTGCCGGCCGGTTCAGAATCTTCTCTTCTCCGATTGCAAATTGGCGATCAATGATTTCCCAAATTATGTGTACGACGTGGATTGGGATGTGATTTTAGTCGATGGGCCGTACGGGTTCGCCCCGACTGCGCCCGGGAGGATGGCGGCGATATTCACCGCCGGGGTTTTTGCCCGGAGCAAAAGGGGCGGCCGGGACAAGACCGACGTGTTCATTCACGAGTTTGACCGGGAAGTGGAACGAGTTTACAGCGACGAGTTTTTGTGCAGAGAGAATTTGGTACAAGTTGTGGACACGTTGGGTCATTTCTCGGTGGGCAGAATGGATGCCCAAAGGTTCGAATTTTGTCCCAATTCCGATTCAATTTCATTACAATCCTCTTCTTCTTCTTCTCCTTCGTACTCATCGAAGCCTAGTTCTTCTGATAATTGATGAATTAGTTTATACTACATTGTGAATTATATTCCTTTTTTTTTTTTTTTCCCTTCTTTTTTCGGTTCAGAGTTCAGACAAATCACTAGCAATACTGTTACTACTTTAAAGTGTACTTTTCTTTCTTTCACTTTATGATGGAAAGTTCAAATGTAAATATGGGGACTTTTTCCAATTTGAAGAATTGAGAAAAGATTTTGATGTTTATTACAACCGCGTAATAAAGCATTGCGTTTATTTTATTTTTTTCTAGCTGCTTTTGTTAATAAGGTGGACAAGGGGTCTTTTTTAGTTAGCTTTACAACCTTGAATTCCACGAAGAAATCAGCAAATAACGCCTTTGGTTGCTTTTTTTCCCCATCTCTTGCTGGTGGGAAGTTATTCAAGTCAAAATTAGCGCATAATTATGTTGTTAAAAAGAAAAATGTTAGTACTTGATTTTTGGAAGACTGGCACAAGGAATGAGTATGGGCTCAATAAAATTGGGGTATCATGGGGTCAAACTTGATTATGTAAAGATGAATCCAACTGGTAAGCATTTCAATTTTCATTTAGGTCTCATGATGTCGTGGTGGTAATCGTGAAATGAACATACTCAATTATGACCCTTAATTTGAATTCAAATTTTTGGCGGTGTTAAAATTTTAATGACGACCTGACATTATGATGATCGACTTTGATGACCAGCATTAATTATGGAAAGGATTAAGAGGTGAGAAAACGAGAAACAGTGTCCGCCGGCGGTTTCCACGCGTGCAATTGTAAGAATTTCCCGTGACGCGTGGGATTAGAGCCAGCGGTTTTCAGTTTTCACGTGAGTAAATTCCGGCAAGAAAGCTTTGGAAATTTCGGCCTTAGTCGCTTTTGGATTATTATTAGTCGGGAGGGAGAGATTTTATTGAATCCATGATTGACGAGAAGAAAGGACTTGGTAATTTCTTTGGTGCGATCACGTTAGCCACGTGACCAAAGCGGAGAGCAAGCTGAAACTCAGAAAGCAGTAAAACTAGTTACTGCACGTGTCGGTGTAGAACACCGCAGGCCCACTCTAATACCGCCTTGGACCAAATTAATGAATGTTTTGGGCCTGTGATTATATTAGATCCGATAGAGATCAAAGGTTCGATTCTTATTTCTGCTAGAGTCTTAAACGTGTTCTTTTTGAACATAAGTAAATTAAAAAATCTTCATTTTAACTATACAAACAAGACTCATTTTTTGGTTGTAACGATGATAATTTCTCGAAATAACAATAACCATTCATAGCAATACTAGTATTCACTCTTTTTTTGGGTTGTGTGTAATTATTTGGGTATGAAAACCATAAAGGTGTCAAAAAGACACAATACTAACTATATAGCCTATATGGGGTAGAGCCACACTCTATATAAATGGAGAAGGGCATTTGCAGTTGCACGGATGGAGCAGAGACACTAGAAATATCATAATCGGGGGTTTGGGGGGACTTGGGGGAGTAAAGGAGGATCACGAACACTGTCGCCTGAATTATGGGAGTTCATTCATTATTTACTTTATTTATTAGTATTTTTGAGGGGTTGAGTTGTTGTCACTCAAAAGTATCACCGACGCCATCACTAATCACTCACTCACAGGTCCAAAGAATTTGGGCCCTCTGAATTCAATTTTACTGGGAAAAAAGAATGTAACTTGGTCCACCAAAGCTTTAATTTCCGTGATCGTATTAGATGATGTTCTTTAATTATTTTCATTGCGGCAGCGGTTTCTAATTGAGTGAGATTTGGATGAAAACTCTCTACCTTATACTTTCTACATACTATGAAATGATCCACCAATGATAAATAAATAGGCTATTGATCTGCACAACATTTAAGCCCAATTGATCAGCTGATCCACATACCGCATAGCAAGGCTGAAATCCAGTTTCTAACATCCACCCTTATATTTGCTCTCCCAGTTTGAACAAATCCCCATTTATTTATCAGTTTCTGGTAGTGTAGATAATTACTGTTTGTTTAAAATTTAACAAGGGAAGCAAGAATGAAAATGTATAAATATTAGAATGAAAATCCAGCAATAAAATAATGAACTTTATTTACAAAAAGAATGAATTACGGCCATATTGTAGATTTGATATATTGTTTCCATAATTAATAAATAAATAATTAATTATATCAATCAGAAAGTTTTCATAATTAATAAATTAAATAATTAATTATAGCAATCAGAAAGAGGAACGCGTGTTTATATATGACAAGTGCACTAAATATGATAAACACCGTTCACCATATAATAACTAAATCTACTACGTTAACTCGTTAACTTACAATATTTTGCGAGTGAAAATCATTAACCATATCGTGTTCCAGTCTTGTGTAAGTCTTATCAATGTATTATAGTCTCTAGAAACTTGTATGATAAATAGACGTGATAAAATAAATAAAATTAGTGCTAATATTTGTTTTTCTATAGATATGTCTAGATTAAAGATGTCTTGATGTTACCAAAGTAAAGGGTCTAGCTTGGTGGCAATCATTCTATTCAAAACCTCATTTGGGGCCTTGTTAAACATTATTCCAGCATCCTCATCTGGTTAAGTTAAAGCTCATATTGTGGACTTTTGAAAAAAAGGAAAAAACAAAAAGAGGGTCAAGTTTGTGAAGTTTCGTTCCACTTTGCGGACTCAAAATATTTCTCATAACATCTTTACACACACACACACACACACACACACACACACACACACACACACACGTAATAGGCTACTTTCCTCCCCTATTTTATTTGACTTAAATCTCTTGATCACTCTAAAGTTCGGCGTAATTACCAAGAAAATTGCGAGTCTTGGAAACAAAGTACTATAGACCAGTAGTAGTAGGTAAACCTTTGAGATCTTAATTTGTAGAATGTTACGAGTTTGAATATTACAAGTTTTTTCTCTCCAAAAAATACAGACAAGACCCACCCCCAAAAAAGCAAGTTGAATCACAAGGTTAAAACAAGTTATTGTGTCACGTTAACACTCTCTAACACTAATTTATTATTAGGACCAGCATGTACTCCACATCCTTTAAATATTCAAGTCCAATCAAGGAGTTCCTAACAATGCAAATGTGGGCACCTTTTATTTGAGAATGCTGTATTCATGGCTACCAGACTACTATTTTGACACCATTTTTTATATTGACATACACATTCTTTCCCATGTCGGTTGGTATCTAATATACCTAACTGAATTTTTCTAAGTTGCACGCTTTGCTTATCATTTTCTAATACTATGAACTAAATCAACCAAATGAGAGTGAGCTTCTAACTTAAGCTTACAACAACTGTTTTTGCAATATTGGCTCTATCAGTAAAAAAAAGAGTAACTAAAAACTCAGCACAATCAATATACTAATTTGATAGCCATAACTTCAGGGCAGCGCTATTTGAACTAATGGAAATACAACGGAAACAATTACAAAGATAATGATAAGCACAAATTGGTGCAGGCACGGACCATGGTGGTGGTGGACCTATATATGATATCCTCATTAGGACCAGTCTCACCAAAAAAGAAAAAAAGGAAAAAAAAAAAAAAACTTTATGTTATAAAGGCATGTGTGTATGTTCAACTTTACATCTGATTTGGGGATAATTATATTGACTTCTTTGAGTATTGTAGCAAATCACTTCCCATTTCCATAAAGGTCATTATGCGCCAGTAGTGTTTACGAATCGCTTAGTAAAATGCACAATTAAAATGGTAAAAATAACTAAGAATTGGCCATAATCGTAATCTTTGAGATAAGTTGTGTTGGACTAAAACCATTCGTCATTCAAATATAATATATTATTATTATTATTATTATTATTATTATTATTATTATTATTATTATTATTTTGGTTCTTCAGCGAGGCGATTAAATATGAACTCCATCCAATGGAGTCAATCAAGAGTATGGATATATTTTTCCCACATTGTGGACAATTGATGATTTCTAGCTACTAACATTGGAGCTCAATGTAACTAACAGTGACGGAAAATTCATTGATCCAATTAATTTTTTTTGTTTGTTTGATTACAAATCCACATAATAAAACCAAAATGTAGGCCCCCTTGGATAAAATAGAAAGAAAAGAGAAAGGAAAAACAATACAAATAAAAATGGCAAACCAGAAAAACATGATTGACTTTTCAAACAATCACAGCCTCTGAGGTTGCAGAGCATTGTAAGAAACAGGGAAGGCGGCTCCGGTGGAGATGGACCGGGTCATCCGACGAGGACCACCTTGCCGGCATGGGATCCAATTCAGCGGGTCCTTCAGCTGATGATTGGGGCACCATTTGGGCTTATACCCGAAAGCAAGACAGTCTTTTACTGGTCTCTGATTCGGAAATCCCGCAATACAATTCTGACTAACATCCAACACTCCGTTCTTGATCAGCTTCTCGCAAGCCAACCCGATCCCAGTGAAATAGTTATACGACAATGTTAATTTCTTCAGATTCGGCAAATTACAAACCTCATCGGGAACAATCCCGTAGAACTGGTTGTTAGCCAGGTTCAGGATTTCCATGTTGGTCAAGCACCCGAAAGAACAGGGTATCGGGCCGGTCAACTGGTTTTGGCTGACGTCAAAGACAGTTGCCTTGTTTAACAGCCCGATTTCGGGTGGCAGACACCCGGTGAGCTGGTTGTTTAGGAACAGAACTTCGGACAACGTTTTGGAAGCTTTCCCGATGTTTCCCGGGATGGAACCGGTGAATTTGTTGTTGGCCAGAGTTACGTAAATAGCCGGGATGGAAAACAGATTCGCCGGAATTTGTTGCTGGAAATTGTTGTTGTTGATGAAGAGGACGTCCACGTCGAGTGTGAATACCTGAGGAGGTACAGCTCCGGAGAAGGAGTTGAACCTTATATCCAAGAAGGTCAAATTGGTGGCACCAAGAACTTGATATGGAAATTGACCCGTCAATTTGTTGTTGCTCAAGTCCAGCTCGAACAAATACGGGATGTCAGTGATTTGCCTCGGGATCAGGCCGGTGAAGCCGTTGGAATTTGCGTGGAAAATGCTGAGGTCCGGCAGCTTTTCGATGAATCCGTCCAGGGTTAATTCCGGGCCCCCGAAATTGAACCCGTTGAATTGTACATCGGACAAGCCGTTGACTCCGAAACCAGGGACAACAGCGCAGCGGAATCCTTTGTATTTGTTGCAGATATCGGATCCAACCCAGGTGACCGTGATATTTTGTGGGTCGTACTTGATTTTCGCCTTCAGGTCCTGGATGGCCTGGTAAACCAGTTTGATACGTTCGCTCTCAAATTGTAGTGGCGGATAAGGGGTGGGGGCCGGAGCAGGAGGAGGAGCAAGAGGCGCCGGAACTTCAGCTTCCGGTGAACAGTTATTGCCGACGCTGACCCCGACTCCGGCGACGCTGATGTTGGCGCAGATAGCTACACCTATATCATCAACAAGGCCGGCTTGACAATTGTGGAGGCAGGTTTGAAATAGGATGATGATGATGATTAGGAACAATGTCGGAAAGGATTTGTATTTGGAAGAGATAGTGGCCATTTTCGCCATTTTTGCTTTTTGGTTCACTTTTGTTCAAGTGTTAGTGACTATATAGTGCCATGTGGAAATAATGGGATCTTTCCCACTCACTCAAAAGTACAAATTAAAAGAGCTAAGTCACGAGTGCAAGATGCTGCATTTTTTAATAGACAATTAAGAATTAACTGCAACAGATTAATGCAATTGGTTTTTTGATTATGTTATACTAGTTCCTTCTTGAGCTTTGAACTTATAATATCACCACTTAATTCCATCTTCCGTTGTTCAGTTACATCCTTTTGATGAGATTCTTGATTCGGGGAATACAAGAACTGCTGACGGCTGAGGCCTAAGATGAACCGTGACATTGAGGGATATTACTCGCTAAATGAATTTTCTGATTTGACTATTTTTAGTTTGTTTGAAATGGAGTGGCCATAGAGATCTGTAAAAGTAGGAGGATCCACCAACAAGAATGACATCATAGCTGGAATCAATATAACCAGTGTTGTTTTCTAGCGTACATTTGTTTAAAACATTAATCCGTTCGGTAATGACTATTTGAATTTTCACTTTTTGTAATTTTGGAACGATATTAAAAATGAAAATTTAAATATTATAATTATTTTAGAGACTTTCAAAATGGAAATAAACAACAATAATTAAAGTATTGGTTATCCCTTCGTTTTCAAATGCGATCAAAATGCTTTACCTGCCTGCAACATTTTTTTTTTTTTTTGATTCCCTATTCCTTGCACAATGTAAACACTGTATTAAGCTACAAGCCACGGACTCTTGTGGATAGCGTCGGAGAATAATTGTATATAGCAGGAGCCTTAATCGTGGCTAACTAGTTAATCCTACTTAATATTTTTACGACATCATATAAACTCACGCTCTAAACAATAGCCTACAAACCATAATATAAGGTAAACTATCATATCTAATATAAGTTTGGAATTGTTATGATGATACACGTTTATGATCATTGCCTGACTTTCCTTAATATTCTTTGGTTTCATTTTGATAATTCAGACTTTCGTGCATAGACCTTGTACTCAGACTCGTAATGCTTCACATTTGTCGGTAGCCTTGCTTGCTCTTTACTTAAACTAGAGTTGCAAATTGAATTTCAAGCTCCATAATGGGGATAAAGTTTAAGCGCTTTAACCTCTTTAAGCCTTAGGCCTGTTGTTCGTGTTTAGATGATTAGGAATAATTTTGGGAGTCGGAAAACGACTAGGAGATTAAAAGAGATTATTTGATATTTTTTTTGGCCGCGTACCTCTTTGTCATTTTACTACAGGCTACAAGAGTGTCAATAGTAATGTGTAACCAAATTACGTACAAAAACTTATAATACAGTATTAGCCAGCTAACTAAATGATTGTCTGGTAGAATTATTTGTCAGTAGTTAAGTCAATAATTCTTTTGATTCTTTATTTTAAAGTTAGCTTGGATACTATTCGCACTGTAGTGGGTTCTTGATCTCATATGCTATTTAAGTGAGTATAATCATCTATGGCTTTTTCGTTCTTTTCTTGAAATAATGTGTTGGCAGCTTGGCTCACTTTACTAGCATATTTAAAGATTAATTTCCAGATTCCTTTTAGCCTTCTTATTTGAAATGGAGAAATGCACGATTATAAGTCATCTTGTGGCTAATGGTGAATTGTTAAGTTTCCTAGTTTCGACTTATCCATCTCGACTAGTTTAAGATGATTACCAAAATTTGTGTGTTGGGGGGGGGTGTTCAGACAAAAACAGATTAAAGATAGTATTAACGAACGTAGAAGATAACCTGTACATTAGTAGATGAATTTAACAGAACTATGTAAAAAAAGATATCCATTTCTGTTCTTAGAAACCCTGTCAACTGACGTCTAGTTTTTCGTTTTTCTGTTTTTCCCCCAGTTTTCAACATCAAGTAACAAGTCTTCCATCAGCGTAGTGGTTGACCATATTTTTGCTGCCTCACAATATATCGGCCCCCAGATCTTGAATGCTTTTCTACTAATTTCCTTGTTGTCATGAATCCTCAAGGCCTTGATCTTAGCCAAGGCTTTAGCTTTGCCTATCAATTCAACAAACAAATTGGTGCGTTCTCCACCAGGCTTACATAAAATTCCAATCCCCTCTAAGCCAACATTAGCCATCACTGGATCAGGGCTGTCGAGTAAATCACATAATGGCTTCGTGAAGCCCTCCAAACCCGGAATCCTGACACGAGTTCCACCGAAGATAATATTCAAAATTGCCTGCCCAACTTCCTTCTTTGATGTGTCTTCAGTTTGTAACAAATGAATTATTTCTTCAATCAACTTATCATCAATCACTGCAGCCTGTCTCTGAAAATTATTCTCTCTTGCAATGTTTCCGACTGTGCGAAGTGCCGGTAATCGCACATAAGGCGATGGATGCCTGAAAGATTACGTACAATTGCTCTTTTTCGTAACAGAAATCAATGGAGAGGTAGAAAAAACCAAATACGCAGGAAGTGTAACCTACGAGATCAGCTCCACAAGCCGTGGATAGACACCAGCCTTAATTAAAGATTGGATTACATCGTTTGAGCCATCAGAAAGATGTAATAGAGCCCAGCAGGCATGTGAGAGCACAATAAAGTCATCAAAATAAACAAGTAGCTGGACATTTGGAAGGGCTGCGCACACCTGGGTGTTAAACACTTAAATCTAATTAAGGGTTCGATAAGAGAGAAAATTAGACAACAAGGGGGAAATGATTGCAATTTCCACAGCTAACCTGTTCGAATGAAGGTTGAGGTTTCCGCGATAGAAGTTTAGCAATGTCAACGTAGAATTTCTCAGCATTGAATATGTTGCATGCTCATTATTCAATTGTGCCAGCATGGAACCAAAGCTCCTTCACTCAGAACAAGATCACGATACCTAGGAGAGTCACCCGCAATGTTTCCTAATGCCCAGATAGCCTAAACATTAACAAACCCATCAAACTAATTTCAAACCTCCACGAAAAAACAGTATTCAAAACTTTTCATGCCGTAATCAGCAACAGCAAACAAGGCCTTAACGGAAAAATACACACCTGCTCACGAACATCATCATTTGGAGAACCCAAGAGCTTTACAAATATAGGCACAGCACCATGATCAATCGCCACTTTAGTATCATCAGAAGTCCCAGATGCAATATTTCCAAGAACCCAGGCAGCTTCAAACTAATTGAACATCGGAATGAAAGTCAGAGAATCCTGAATTTTTAACACGGACACTATTTAAATTCATAACAACATGAACACTGTTTAAATTCACACAGACACAATTTTAAATTCTTCTGGGTGTCCAGCGCTGGACAAAGTCAGAGATTTCTTAATAGCAGAACAATTGTAAAGAGAGCGAAAATCAAGAGCTGTGTCATCAAACCTGGAGCCCTGGAGAATCATCACCTGAGAGGAGCTCAACAAGGTTGGAAACGGATCCACTTCTCAATATCATATCATTATCAGGTGCGATTCCTGTTAATTCCATAGAATGAGTGACTACATCAACTGGTGAGGGGTCATGGACTTCAGAAATCAGAAATTCAGAATATTAAAGCTTAATGGTAAAAAATTATACCAGTGGAAAGTAGATCAAAATACTGTTCTAGGTACCCGGGCCGCGATGTTTTGCCCCAAATATGGACCAACTGCATTTGGATGAACATGTTATTACACAGCTGAAGACAACTGAATGTTTGATAAATAATACTCTCTCTACCCCCAAAAAAATAGTCTACATTGAGTTTCAGGAATTATGTTTGTTTTAGTACAAAATTGAAATCTCAATGTGGACTATTTTTCTGTAACAAAGATAAAAAACTTGTAAAAAATTTTAAGCTATGACTAACACCTGAATCTAACAAATTCAAGATTGACAAATCTCCCAATTAACCAACCATCCCTAAGCCGAAACCAATGTCAGACACAATCTCCCACGACCAAAACCAGCAGCAACTATATGTACTTTAGCAAAATAACAATAAAACCAATTAAACGAATTTAATACCGGAAAATTTAACAAGAATGTATGATCACCGAACTGGTAAAAAAGAAAATAAAAAACAAAAAAAAAAAAGAAGAAAAAGGAACAAAGAAAAGAAAGAAGAACAACCTCGGGAGGGGAAACAGAAGCGGGGCAGGGCTGGTCAAGTTGAGCTCCTCCACGTTGTTGACCCTCAGGAATCTGCCGTCCCTCGTCGGCATCCACCGGAAGCTGAAAATCCTCGGTTTCTTCTGGAGACGAAGACATGGTTGCGCACTTGATTTCTTCTAACAACTCAATTTTGAAAAAACAAAACTTAAAAGAAACTCCAATTGGAAATGTACTAGAAGTGAAGAGCTGCGGAAAAGAAGAATTAAACAAACGGCAGAAGCAAGACTTTCGATATTTTTTCCCCCCTTCAACAATTGAAGTGACCGGCTCTCACGGTCTGGGGTTTATGTGACGTTTAGCAAGGTTCTGGATGTTTGTTTCTGCTTTTAATGAAGGCCAGATCGGACCAAAGTAGGGATTTTCAGCATTTAACTACAGAATTACTGATTTCGTTTTGTATTTCACAATTCTTGCCTTCCACTATAATGATTTTCCCGAATTAATAACTGATAATAATTTTCCAGAATCTTATCGGTGCAGGAAAAACACCACAGGTTGGGCCACAAAAATGGTAATTTAAGCCGAACTTTGAATAGAGAAGATACAAACAATAATACTCAGAGAAACAAGCATGAACCCATTGCCCCTCTGGATGAAGCTGTCTCATAATTACTGTTGAGAGAAGTTCTTGTTGTTGTAGGACATGATTAATTCACTAAACAAAGATAAACTACAAATCGATCTTGGATTCATAATCATGAGAGACATCGTACACCATTCATTGTACCAATGAAAGCTTAAGAAGAAGAACAAAGTTCAATTATTATGCATCAATTAGTAACAAGTAGTTATTATATGCATGAATGAACTGGCAACAGAAGCAGTTCAAAATACAACAAAATCGAAGTTTAAACATTCCCTCATTGATGAATTAATAACACATAAAAGCGTAAAAATACGTGTCAAGTGGCAGCAGAGGATACCCTCACCCTACTTCTCAACTCACGTGGGATTTTGTCCTCTTTCTCCTCAAGGATGTATTCGAGGAATGTACGATGCGGGGTGCAGCAACCAAGTGTGCAGAGCTCATCCTTTTTCTGTTCCCAATCTGATAGGAACAAATCTCTCCTCATGCAAAACAGTGGCCTTGACTTCAGGTCCCCGGGACGATAAGTACTGCGACGACGATTAACAAAATACCGACCGAGAAAGGGTTCAGGGCTGCTGAGATGATCAACTTGAGCTGTAAAGGTGATGTAATACAGAGTATAAAAAGGTGTACGGAAATAAGCCACATTCTGAACCTTCCCATCAAAAATGTATTTCTCCTTATCATGTTCATTGTTGTAAAACTGAATGCTATCCTGGGACATCTTGAGGAAATTAGGCTTGATTTTTCCATCAATATCTTTAAAAGGAAAAGGTTGGATTGTTGCTTTGTAGCTCCTATCAGGTGACCAGGTGATGTCAAATCCCTGAATTGAACAAACCCGGCTCCCAATTATTATATAAATTATTAGCCACAATTGTGGATCAAAGAAAATGCAGAGATTAATATAGTTATTAGTAGAGCTTTGTCTCTTAGAAGGGCATTCCGGCTCAAATCTGGATTAGTAGGACCAACCAATCACTTCGAACACCATACCAGGTGCCTAATACACCCAAAAAAAATTAGAAAATATTCACAAATTGGATTGGAAGCCAACCTGACTGTTGTGCATCAGCTGGTAATACCTGGACCATTTTCCCGTGTCATACACCATCTGCATACTATAACAGTAATCTATGGTATTTTCTTTTAAGTGTTCGGGCACATGTTTTCCAGCACATACCGATATTTGGAGTAATTCTCTGCAAACTTAGAGGCCCTTTCCCGAATGTCTGCATACTCATCAGCTCTTGCCTTGGCCGTGGCCTTGGCGGCTGCTTCCTTGGCCGCCGCATCCTTGGCGGCGGCCGCTTCCGGAGGCGCTGCTTCCTTGGCGGCCTCTTCCTTAGCCGCTGCGGTCTTAGCTGCCGCTCTTCTCTTTTCTTGGTGAATACAAACACTCGACCACGTGGAGGATGATGGAGTTGAGGAAATCAGTTGGATCTTCGTTGCTGGATGGTACTCTTCAACGTTGACGGAACAGAAACCTCCTCCACTCGAGGAATGTACATATTCTAAGATAGCGGACTCCAGACCAAGGCCTTGTCTTCCCCATCTGGATGGATTGTAGATCTCCACCCCAGATTGAACCGAGATTGACGACGAATCCGGCGGTGATGCTCTTCCCTCCTCCTCCCTCTCCATAATTTTCGATGTTTCGGTAGAATTTGATATTACGATGATGACGATGACAATGGAAAAGGAAAGAGAAAAGGGAAACCAAAAAAAAATAAAATGCAAGGGATTACTCCATGTCTTTAAGTGGGCCGGGCCCTCTAACCGACCTTGTCTTTCAACCTGCACAATGACGAGGTTGTATGATTTTATTCGGAGTCTCCTTTTAACTTGCACATCCATATTTATATGCATGATACCACTTTTTTGGATTCAGTTTTACAACACATCTTGTATCGTACGAGTTCTTTCTGATTCTATTCATGTTATGATGCATACATTATACTCATACATGTACTTGTGTAGTGCATTTTAACCGACAAAACAATTTACAAATTAGCCTTTTTTTAAAACAAATGAAGAAGTGTCTATATATTGAAAATTCATCATGTCGTTGGGGGTTTATTTTGTGATCTAGTTTTCCGCTTTACATTGAACCATAGTATTCTTGGCTAGTTGGCTTAATGGATTATGCGCAGCTTAACATAACTTGTACTACTAATTAAATTCCAGGTACAAACTTTGACAACCAGAACCATGACAAGATTAAAGTACTTAGCCAACCTAAACTCTTCCGCCAGATTAGTTGTCCACCGTATGAGTCATCAACGCTTTTGATTTTAGCCAAGCCTTTAGTCTCTGCAGTCAATTAACAGAGAAATGCATGCCTGTATAGTCTTCTCTTGGCTCAACAACAATCAGAGCTTGCTTAAGTTCTTTTATACTACTCTCATAAAAATAATTCATACAGAATTTTTAGAATCTGATATCTTAACGTGAATTACTTTTTTAAGACAAAAGTAATATTTTTGGGGACATAGAGACTTTATTGCATGTAAACTATTTCTTTTGCAATTTTTTTTTGAAGTTTACTTGAATCTGTAGTACTTTCTCGGTACCATAAAATAATTTAAGTTAAATTTTAAAGGACAAAACGCACTTAATTTGGGTCCTTAAACTGTATGGGGTCACAACTTCGAGTCGCTATTAATTTTTGACTGACGAAATTGGTCATCGTCTTTTCGTTTATTTACCAATTGTAGTCAATTTAATGAAATTTATGGTCAACTAACGGTTAACTTTTTACTCTGTTAAGTTTTCAATTTTATATTAATTTTTTTTACTGAATTAGAGCTCGCAATATATTTTCAAACAACAAAATCATCCTCATAATATCTTTTTCTCAATATTACTTTCAAAAACTTAATGGCCTAATTCATTTTTCCGTTAAATCTTTATTTTTTGTCGATTTCTTAAAGGATTCACTAAAAAAAAAAGAGCTTTTAGGACGCCATTAAGCGTCCTTTTAGACATTTTTTGGGACGCTTGCAGTTTCGGGACGAATAAAAAAACATCCTATAGGAGGCCGTCCTAAAATACTTAGGGACACAAAAATGTGTCCCAACAAACAAAAGCGTCCTTTTGAGTAATTGCCAAGTTGACCAGTCAAATTCTATTTTAGGACACTTTTAAAGGACACGATACTTGGTTATGTTTGGATCGTTTTTTCAATGTGTGTTTTTAGGTGTTTTTTGTATTGGGAATATAAAAATGTACATTAGAAATGTAAAAAGGTATGTTGGGATGGGACATTTATTATTTAATTATTTTGAAAAAACCATAAAAATAACCTTCCAAACTTAAGTTTTTAATAGGGCAATAGTAAACGTCCTTTTATCTGATGTATGTTGGGATGCTTATATTCGTTCTAAAACTGATACGTATTTGAACACATTAAAGTGTCCCAATACTTCAAGTATACGGGGCGAATACAAGTGTCCTATAAGGAAACAAAAAAATTAATTTCCATTTTTTCCCTCATTTTATACATGTAAAATTAATTTCGAATTGAATAATTATATATCATGCAACACATATTTGTACGCTACATTCGTAGTCTTGGAATTGACATCACCATCTTCATCGGGTATCAAGACCTTTATTCGTAGTCTCGAAGTGATTATTTTTTTCAGTTCTTTTATGTTATTCTTTTTTTTAAACATACGATGCATCCTCACCTTATGTTATTTTCTTTTAACTCATTTATTCATCTGATTTAGTTTTTTCTCATTATCTATCTAATAATTTATTTTCATTTTAACTTACCCGTTGTCAGAATTATTTTTTTAAAATGTAAGGGTGGGAATATTTTTTCCCCTTAAAAAATGTCATCTAACTTTTTTTTTTTCTCTCCATTAAATATCTTTGGACATTTTCACGATTGTCAAAGCGATCATGCTTTTTTTTCCAGAATAAAGTTTGATTTTTTAAAAAGACAATTTCAAAGTTTGGTAGTATAGTTGTTTTAGCAGTAGTTTTATTTTCTTTAGTTGTTTGGAAATCATTATATAATTATTTTTGTCTTAATTCTATTACCATATTAATTTTCTCACATTTAGATTAACTTATAAGAGAGAGAGAGTTGTTCAGTGTCCAAGCCGACCGCTCAATAGCATAAAGCTGGAGTTTTAAACTTGTCATTATAAAAAATAAAGGAGTCATACTAAATTTTGTACATTTTATTGAGATGATAATTTTTTAATTTGAAAAAGGAATTTCATCCTTTGAACTTTTTTATAATAACATGAAAGTTCATGAACAATTGGAAACTTTAGATAAATATTGGAGGCGGTCGAACGTGCCACTTCTATAAATGAAAATTTTAAATTCCTATTCTCGATAAAGTAAAATCTAACACTAACCTCTTTCAACGTTTTATTTTTATATATTTTATTGCTAGTTTTATGCATAATTTTTTTAAAGAATGTTTTATGCACAATTAGTTAGAAAGTAAATTTTATAAAAATTACAATTACACATAAGATTAAATCATCGTGTATATACCTTTCGCTTTCTCTCTGTAGTTTATCTCTGTAGTTTATCTTAGTATAGTATATATAAATTTATAAACATAGGTTTAGATTTATGCCTCGTACTCAAATTGATTTTAAAATATAATGATAAAGACATTCATTAGAAGTCATGCAAAAAAAGTACGGGAAACACCAACAAAAGGGTTTTGTCATTTTTAGATTAGAAGGTTTTAATTTATAGTGCTTGTCATTGACCCAGAAAATTGCCTCTTATTCTAATTGTTAGTAATTTAAAAGGGATTTAAAAGCCCTACGTAATCTATGACATAAAATGTATTCAACATGTCTTTCGAAACGGAGAAGATGAATAATGCTAAAAAGAGAATTTTTACTCTTGCCTTTTTAATCGTGGCTCCCGATTATTTTACCTACAAAGGCATTAAGACAGGAGTCATTTTACTTGCCCCTCAACTTGGACATGAACTAAAACAAAACACGGTACAACAATATAATTGCCTCATGGATAACAGAAACTTAACGCCTTACATTTTTGTTTCAACTTCAAAGTAAATTACAAATGATTTTTCACAAAGATATTCTCATAACAATTTTTTCTATTGCAAGAAAGTACATAAAACCTCTACTTTCCTAAAGCAGTAATCCAAAGAAGATGCCGTATAAAATTTGGTCCCGGTAAGGGCGTTGACAACCTTGCATTCTATAGATTACCTTTTTCGAATCTACATTGATCAAATCTGATTTTCCTTTTGTAGCAAAGATGATTGTTTCTCCGTTTCAAAAAAAAAAAAGAAAAAAAAAGATGATTGTTTCTCTTAAACAAATACTTCCGCAAGGCTTCTTCTGAGAAAAAAAAAAAAAAGCACCATCTTCCAAGCACACCAAGCCCTAACCTACGCACTTATTCGGTTATTCCATAGACATGTTAAACCACACTGCCAAATGAAATATTTTCCGGCCATAATCAATATTCCAAAAGTTACTTGTTTGTGAGTTAAACCCCTCAAACCCTATATTTTGCGCTCGGGTAAATATCACTAATGTTTTTTGAAGGTCATGTTAAAAGTATTTAGTTAAAAGCTATGTACCTTGGTATCAAGACACACCTGTGCAAATTTTTTCATACCTTATTGGGAGTTAGGGGTCATATATATACATCTCTACCCTTTTGCATCTACATCAATGACCAGTACAAAATCACAGTATATGATATTATTAATACATAGCATGCATGTGATATTCTTGGTTGTATGATGTTATTATTAAATAAATACACTGACCTTGAATTACCTGAAAGAAGTATACGTATGGCACACCAAAATAACCTACGCAACATAGGGAAAAAAATGTTCCATCATCGTTATCAATAAAAATGTCAAAAGTATCCCAAATCATGCCTTGGGGAACAATTGAAACAAACCGCTTTCTTCACTGAAAGAAAAAAAAAAAATCGATTAACAATCTTGAAGAAAAGTGTACATTCAATCAACAAATTTACCCCATTGGAAGTATATCAAAGCAATGCACGAAACACATCAAAACTTTCACTGTAGTAAGCAATCTTTTTAACTAAAGTACGCAATCTTTGTCAAACAAACTTCAATATAATTAAATAATATGAAATGAACCCAATAAGAGAGGGAAAAAAAAAAAAATCAAACCTTTACCTATTAAAACATGTCATGATGGTAACGATGAGAAATATCCGAATTTAGTGTTGCTTAATTTTGTTCTTCGGCTGATTGTGGTTTATAACGACACTTGAGCGTTCTTATCTTTTCTTCTCTTATCAGCTCCTTTACCAGCTTCGCCTTTCAAAGATGTCATATTCATCGCCTTGTTTCTTCCTCATTGTTTTAGTCTCCCTGTGATACACAAGGTCAATCAATTTATCACAATGTCACTAATAAAATATAAAAGCTATGAAACAGGACGAAATGGGGACTAAAATGTAATCTCATCGTGTTTCTAGCCAGTAGATTGCATGCATATAAGTAGAATATAAGTCGGCAAAAATATCAAACCTTTTTTGAATGAATCGTTGCAATATACCAACTGAACTCCCACATTAAGTTTTGGAAAAAAAAAAAAAATTGAAATCAATGTATTTTTTCCATATCCCTCTTCAATTCCTTTTACCACTGGAATCTCCCCTAAATGTTAAGCAAGCATAAAAATCCAAATCTGTTTATTTGTTGAAAAACAATATCAATAACTAAAGATCCATATACGATTATTATGATATTGGACAATAAAGATACCCTAACTTAGATGACTCAAATGGTTGGAGGCTTCCGGAGTCGCGGATGAATGTGGCGGCTTCTTCCAATAAGACAATCTGAAAATTAGAAAAAAAAAAACCGCAAATCTAACACCAAAATGAAAATAAATTATCTCATATATACAGGAGCAATCAAAGATGGGTGCACTTGTAGCTCTGATGCGGTGTTGACTTTCATGTGGGTTATATGTGGTTAATCACCCTTTTCTCAACTCCTTGATCCCTCATCTTTTGGTGTGGCCAGCACTTAATGATTAGCCACTTTCGTTTTTGGGATCATCGGTGATGCTATGGTTGGGCCATGTTCAATCCCATGTCCGCGGCCACCTTCCTTCCATTTTCCTGCTCAAGCCGCGGCGGTCACTTATAAAGTCCTTCTCTCGATTTGTGATCGATTACAACGTCCAAGTCCTATTGCCTCTATACCTCCTTTCAATTATACTTTGAATACAACTGATAAGATAGGATTTCATGCGCAAATCTAAATCTAATTGAATTCCAACCTGCATTTTATCGCAAATCTTCAAATTATCAAATTCAGTTAAGATTTGATACACTGTATCCGTGACTTTTTCGATTAAAAAAAAAAAATAGGCTCATTTACAATGAAAAAATGTAGAAAGTTGCCACATAGAATTAGATCTTACATGGCTTAAGAAAAATATTTTAGGTTTTCTTTTTTGCTTTAGTATAATATCCTACTATATTAGAAACAAAAACTTCCCTTTCAAACACCCCATATGATTGTCACGTGGCATATAGAAAATACTAAATTGCCCTTTTGTCTAACCATAACTAAATTACTAAATCTCCCTTTGCACTTTACGTGACACGTTTTTTTTTTTAATTTTTTCTTTATGTTTCATTCAACTAGAGTGGTTTTTTACATTGAATTGATCAATTAGGTTTTTTGTTACAAAGTGTCAATTTTGTTTTAAGCGTATACCCTTCGGATGAAGCTTATTACAAAGCTATTAAAAATCTCCAAAACTAAGTATTGATTTGGCATGACCAATGGAGAACATCAATAAATCATCTTACTAATATTTAAATTTATTAGGATGCTTTTATATTTTATCTAACATTTACTTCAACACATATATTCGATTAAGCTATTTATATTTAATAAGTAACACTTATAAAACATTTCTAAAACATACATGGCGAAATACAATTTATTTTTTTTTGCGAAATACAAATATTTCTATGATCACACTTATAAAACATTTCTAAATTCTTCAAAAATTTCTAAAATATATCGCTCCAAATACAAGATTTTATTTTTTTCAAATATAAACATTTCTAAGATCTACAGATAGTCATCACTAGTATAGATAGATAGATTTAACCATTGTTCTTGAAGCACAACATGTAATTACTTCGTAATTTGGTTGCATCTTTTATACACCATACAATAATGTTTAATACGTATCTTGAAAATAGTAAAATACTAAATTCTATAGTAACACCCTTCACATTAAGTTATACTCATTTAATCTTTTAGTGTTAATTTAATCGTACATAGATATGATCTTCTCAATCGTATACTTAAAAAATTATTTTCCTAAATTATTATCCTATATTAGTCTTTAATTATTATAAATTAGACACTCCATGTGTCACAAAATAAGAGTTCTTTTTTTGTCTTATTGTTAAGAGACTCTTAGAAATATACTACCTCTGTCAAAAAAAGTCAACATTGAATTTTCATATTTCTACTGCTTTTAATACAAATCTCTAAACTCTATGTCGACTATTTTTTAGGGACAAAGGAAATATGGTTGTTTTTTTTTTTCTCTACAATGAAGGATATTGAAACCTATATATACTACCACACTTCATCGGGGAAATTGTAACCATAATTTATCTCCACCTTTGATCCTAGAGTTTGACCCTCTCATGTTGCAATTTCATAACCCAATCCTTATAGGTTCTTTGATGGCATAATGTATTATTTTTTCAAAAAATAACTATCATATAGTTTTATTAAGCAAGTAACAACAAATACTTTCTCAAACTATTGAACTACTAAATAATTCAAATAACATCACTACTTTGCATCGATCATACATAATTACATAGTAATGCAAAATTATGATAATATTGTGACATTATTATATATTTATGATTATAATATATTCGCTTTTTTAATCCTGAATTATTTGTTTGTATTTAAGTACAAAATTTCATAATGGGACACTTTTAGGAGTCTTTATTAAGATTTTGGTATGTGGACGGTTTTAAGCGTCCTATCAAATTATTCTATAAGGTCGCATAATTATAATGGAACGATTTAAGCGTCCTATCAATTATTATTTATTGAGAGGCTTCAAAATGTCCCATTATGTATTTTTAATGGGACGTTTCTTTCATGCATCTTATTATGTATCTATTGGAACGCTTTACAGAAAAGCGTCTCAAACAAAGCATCCCAATAGATCATTTTTTTTGTAGTGAGCCCCTAAGTCTTTGATCAGAATTTTTTTTTAAAAAAAAGAAGAAGAAAACCAATTAAAGGAATGATGAAACTATTTCAGATCAACTTCCTAAACCCCAATAGTCTGCTCCCCAACGGTTCAGCATCACCTCCCCGCAGGTAAAGTACTCCAAAAAAAGAGTCTCATTATTGATCGTTGTCGTTGTTGGGTTTTTTTTTTGAATTTATTTCTTGGGTAATTTAATTAAATTAGCAGCCCTCTTTGTTTGAATCACCCCTTTAATCGTCTCTTTCTTTTATTTTCTTAATTTAGATTTTGTCTCAAACATATTATTCTTGTTACAATGGTCTATCTCTGAATATTCTCTGTTCATCCTTGAATTTCACGATTTTTTATCTTAGTTTCTGAGACTTGGTAAAAAGAGACCCAGAAAAAAACCATGAAATTCCAGAATGAACAGAACATGAGCAGAGCATATTCAGAGTTGACCGAAAATATTTTCATTATTCCTTTAATTTATATTTTTTTAATTAAAAAAAAGTTTATGATCAAAGATCTGTGGGACCTACAATCTATTAAGAAATCAATAAAAAATAAAAATTTGACGAAAAAAATGAATTGGGCTATTATGTTTTTAAAAATTCCGTTAAAGTGACTAAAATTATTAGAAAAAAATATTAGGGGACTGCTTTTGTTGCTTGAAAATACATTGCGGGCTCAATTCAGTAAAAAATAATTAATAAAAAATTGGAAAACTTAACGGAGTAAAGAGTTAACCGTTTGTTGACCATAAATTACGCTAAATTGAGTAAAGTTGAAGAATAAACGAAAAGATAGTGGCCAATTTCGTCAATCAAAAGTTAATGGTGACTCGAATTTGTGATTTTAAAAAGTTTAGGGACCAAAAGTGTATTTTGTCTAATTTAAAATTTGTATTTTCTTTTAATTACACTAGTATATTTTAATGGCAATACTTAAGCATGAAGTACGTCCTTGAAAAATCAGCGGTATTGGTCGTTGCGACAGAATCACGCATACATTATTGTAACCAGAAGTCCAATGTCTCTATTGATACTTAGACGAAGTCGACGGGGCACAAAATTTACAAGCGAGGCCTTACATTTCAGTTTCAATAAATTTATCACAAAATGTATCGATTCGTTCATCGAGGAATATTAACGGTACAATAATGCCATTGACTTCATAATTAATTACATCAAGTTAATGAGGATGCAGAGCCTTGTAAGAAAGTGGCAACTCTGACGGTTTTGCTGCTAATTCTCCGGCGTTACGCCGAGCCATTGCACTGGATCGGATACTCTGCCCGCAAGGCATCCAATTCAATGGGTGGTTTTGTGGGTTGGGGCAACTTTTCGGCTTACACGCGAATGCATCACATTCTTGTTTTGATCTTTGATTCGGAAGCCCCGGAATACAATTCTTCTTCACATCAAGAACTCCCTTCTTAATCAGCTTCAAGCAAGCCGGTCCAACACCGGTGAAAAAGTTATAGGACAAGGTGAAATTCTTCAAATTCGGCAAATTACAGATGCAATCGGGAACAACTCCGTTAAACTGATTGTTAGCCAAGTTCAGAATCTCCATGTTGGTCAAACAACCAAGAGAATACGGTATCTGACCGGTCAAAGAATTCCGACTGACGTCAAAAACAGTGAGCTTCTTTAGCAGCCCGATTTCGCTGGGAAGACATCCTGAAAGCTGGTTGTTTAGAAACAGGACTTCGGATAATGTTCTTGAAGCTTGGCCGATAGTGCACGGAATTGGACCGGTGAGTTTATTGTTGGCAAGAGTCAAGTAAAGAGCCGGCAGGGTAAACAAGTTGTCCGGCAGCGTTTGCCGGAAGTTGTTGTTGTTGATGAAGAGCACATCCAGGTCTAATGTGAACACTTGGGGAGGCACCGCCCCGGAAAATTTGTTGAACCTCAGGTCCAAAAAGGTCAACTTTGTGGCTCCAATTACTTCATAAGGGAACTGGCCGCCGAAATTGTTGTTGCTCAAGTCCAGCTCGAATAAATACTTGATATTTGTAATCTTCTTCGGGATTAGGCCGGTGAATTTATTGGAATTTGCATGGAAGATGCTGAGGTCCGGCAGCTGGTCAATGAACCCGTCTAGTGTCAATTCCGGGCCCCCGAAATTGAACCCGTTAAATTGCACGTCGGACAAACCTTTGACACCGAAATCAGGGACAACGGCGCATCTGAAACCTTTGTATTTATTACAAATATCCGGACCGACCCAGGTCTTGGTAATACCTTTCGGGTCATCCGTAATTTTCTTCTTGAGTTGTTGGATGACCGGGAATACTAGCTCAATACGCTTGCTCTCAAATGGTGGCGGCGGCGGCGGTGGACAAGGTGGGGGCGGTGGCGGTGGTGGTGGACAAGGTGGAGGTGGGGGCGGAGGAGTCCCGTACTCAGGTGGTGATGGAGGTTCAGCTGGTGATGGAGAGGTTTCATGATCTGGAGGAGGCGGTGGAGAGTTCAGCTCGTAACCAGGTGACGTCGGAGCTTCAGCCGGTGGTGAAGAGTCAATGCCGGCACCAATGGCTATAACTATCTCCAATGCTTTTCTGGCTTGGCTGGCTGTTGGATCGTCAGCGAGGGCCAGATGATGGTGGGGGAATGTTTGGAGTGACAGAATGTGAACGAGCAAAAGAAATGGAATGTATTTGGAAAGGATCATCATGGCCATTTTGGTGTTTCTGATTTGGTTATGTAGTTTTAGTTCATCAAGAAAAGCTTATATATACAGTTTTCATCCATCCCAAAATTATTGTATAGATTTTCAATTTTAGTTCAATTTACATTAAAAATAAAAATTTAAATTAGATAATAATTTCGGGTTACCCATGCGAGCACTCTTGGAAATCGAAGGAAGATAGGGCGGTCAATGACGAGGTAAACATGTGGACGTTCCTTGATGACTGAATTACACCGACACTAAGTCCATTGGTTCCAAGTTATTGTTCAACTTTGTTTTTTTCTTTTTTCTCCTTTTTTTTTTCTCTTTAGGTTACTAGAGTTTCAATTTGATCCCCCAATTTCAAATATTGATTCAGCAGTATGGAGCTATGAAGGATTAATTGAAACCTGATCAGTACAAATATGAACTGGGAACAGCTCAAATTTCAAGGGACTGTTTTCATAATACTCTTACATGTTATTCGGTCAACATGATTCGGTAATCATCATCCCATCGTTTTCAGTGTGAACACTTCTCTATTTGTGCCATTTTAGATTCTTTGCATTATCTAACAGCAACCAACCTTCGGACTCTTGTGGATGGTGGGAGGAATCGTTGGGTGTTTCTCTTTATATATTATTATATATCCTGGTCGTTAGCCCGTGAGGAGAAACTTGCTATATACAAGTATTAAAAAATTCGGGTTATGCAATTTTGATAGTGATACATCGAGGTCTTATCCAAGCCCGAGTGCCCATTGTGGTCACCGATGGAAATTTCACATCGTTTTGATTATACCTTGTCCCAAATAATTATATTGACTGTACAATATTTTACTTTAACGAATAAGATTTTTGTAATGATAACAGTAGATTTGAAATCTATCCTTTAAACTAAAGGGATTGTGGTGAAGTGGTAAGTACTCTTCTACTCTTAACCAGCTCTCGCACCCATCGAGATGTCTACCATGAGCGAGAGGGATTAATCACTATTGCCGACGGTGGACATCCTGCAATATGCAAAAAAGAAGTATGCCCTTCATTGCAAAAAAAAACTCTCTTCCACAAAATCTCTCGGCTCTCTCTTTGGCCACCTCTGTTCCCCTTAAACCCCAAGAATCAAAATCAACATTTCCCATCTTTCAACCATAAAAGGACGGGAAAATAACTTTTCTCAAATCTTTTTTACTTTTTATTGTGTTTCAATTTATTTTCAATGGAAACGGGATCATAATTGTAGATTATGGTCTGCGGTATGACCATTCTTTACTTTCTAGGACAGGCTTATCAAGAAGCGACATCCTTGTTAATGTGTGCTAATATGACGACGGCATTTTTGTTGATGTCTGCTAGTATGACACCGGATTCCTTAGGGATATTCGCTAGTATGGCGACAGTTTCACCAGTGACGTTTGCAAGTATGGCGGCGACGAATTCATTGAAGCGGTTCGTTGCTTTGGCAGGTTTGGATTAAGAAAATTTAGTCATAATTGATCAAATTGTTAGGTTTATGTTTTGTGAGTTTCAACCGATGGTTAGTGTTGTATCTTTGATCAGATTTTAAATTTAGCACGTGGTACAACCATTATTTTATGAAAAACACAATAATGGCATTATGGCCGATGATAAGAGTTGTGTGTTTCTGACTGTATCTTGCTTTTGTCAATCGTTACTGGATGATTTCCAGCAAATTAATAAATTTATCTTTTATTTCTTAAAAAAAAAAACAGTACAATTGAACCATATATATACTGCATCAACTTGTTGATGAAGTTTAAATGGTTTCGTATACAATTCCCTACAGATCTGTGAGGAACAATCCAACATTCGACATCTCTTCCAAATGGCTTTAATTAATACTTTTCGATAACCTTGCAATGTGTTTTAGGTGTTTAAAATATTTTAGAATTGGAAATTGAGTGCTTATTGTGACAAGGTAGTAGGTGATTTGATTTAATAGAGAAATGGCTAGCTAGCTGGAGAAGTTTTTGCCTAGGTAGTATGGAAGTCAATAGTCAACGGTGTTATTGTAATTATTTTGTAAGCTATTTAGTGAGTACGTAGTTAACGAAGACTTAGCCAGCTAACTACTGATTATCTATCTCTTTGGGCTATCTCTTCTCCCAAAGAATATTTCTCCGTTAGTCAGTCAATGCTTTGTGGCTTTGTGCAAATGACATGTATTTCATTTATAAAGCAATCTAAAATATAATGGATGCTCTGGAAAGTGGAAACCAGTACTTTTATTTTGGTCGTATTTTATGATCTACTTTTCCGCTTTACATTAAACCATTGGGTTCTTGGCTTAATGGATTATGCACAGCTTAATATAAGTTGTACTACTAATCACTAATCACAAATCCAGGTACAAACTTTGACAACCACAACCATGACAAGATGAAAGTACTTGGCCAAACGAAAATCTTCTGCCAGATTAGTTGTCGACTGACGAAGCATAGATTTGTACCGAAGTCTCTAATTGATTGAACTGACGGAAATGGCGATATCAAAACCCTAAAACCTGCAGAAGAAGGTTTCGAGATTTCTCGAGAGTAGACACTTCGATACTTAAGTCAGTAAGAGTAATTATAATAAGGGTATGAATTGTGGTGCGTAGAGCGTACCTTTGATATGAGGGGTTGATCCCAATTTATAGAGCTAAGGTTACCTGTTTGTAAAACCCTTTCTTAGTAGGAAAGTAATTAGCAACCGTCCTAGAAATTTACAGGTGCCGGTTGAACTGCTCGCTGAACTTGGGCCGGCCTAGTTTTGGGCCGTAATAATTAGGACTCGTCAAGTGCCACTTATCAAGCCTATACTTCAAAGTCTGGAGATAAGGTAGGCTTGATAATATGAAGTATAAATTTTTCTCAAGTTCGGAAAGAACTGACTTGAATCGAGAACCTACGACAGATTAGCATCGAGGAGAAATCAAAGCACTGAAAACATTAGTGCGTACCTTTTTAAATGTACGTGTCATAAAGGGCGATTGACATGTATGCCAATTTGTGAAGAAAAAAGAATCATTAGTTCAGACTTTCGAGTGAGAAGTTGATAGGTGATGATCTTAATAATCTGCCCTATCGAGATACTAAAACAAATTCCCCGTTATTTGAGAACATGATAAAGAAGTGTAGTGGATATGTGTTATCAATAACTCCCAAAGGTATAACGACTGTCAGAATGAAGACTCTGGTTGAAAATTGCTGAGAGAATCGAGGAAGAAACGTAGTGGAGATTCCCACTAGCCTCAAAATTTGTGTAGTTAGCAGCGGCTAAGATATATCAACTATTGAAACGAGGAGTTTACTGGAGAACTGTGACATTTGTTTATGATCGAGAAGTAATAGATCCAAACCTTCGAGAATAACCATAGAACAGTGGATCGAGAAGTATCATGAATGAAGACAGAATATTCCATTGGTACTCGAAGTCGAGGACATAAATTTGAGACGGAACATTGTCTGAGGTTAAACCGCACGTCGAGAACTTGCCCCAGCATAATCTTTTCTGTAAAGAAATGTTAAGGACCCTGAAGGCTGGAGTAGACCAGCTCGAGTGTAATAGAGCATTAGAGACAAGAGACTGTCACCATGAGCATCCTCGATTCTCAAAGAGGGATAGAATAGAGTAGAAGACATCGTAGAATATGCCGAATGTGATCACGTCAATGCAAAGATGGTGAGACTCGAGAAGATTCTCTCGAGTAGAAATCTAGACAAAACTCATGAATTGCAACCATGTGACCTTGAAGAAGGTACACAAGCATTTAAGCTTATTTATATCCGCCCAACCGACCCGCTTGCCATTTCTCATGTCCCGGAAAATAAAGCATAGAACCCTTAGTCTGGTTTGAGAAGTATGAATCAGGTTAATGTGTCGAACCCGAGTAGATTCATAATATCGTTGCTCGAAACTTGAGCAAGAATCGAGGAGGTTTTACGCATTAGTGTGAGAAGAAACAATGCCCTAGTCTAAATATTAATTGAAGACCGTCGAGAAAAGTCATAGGAAGATATCCGTAGACCCATGATAATCACAAAAAAAACAAAAAACACAACCTCCCAAACACCTTACCACCTTCCAGACACCTTACAATCTCCCATATATAAACGTTCCTCATTATAGATAACCCCGGAACCATTACTCATCTCGGTGCCCCCAAGTCTTGGGGTGACATTTGGCAGACCGAGACTTTTAGGTAAGAATATCATGAGAGTTTGACTTCCACTGCTCAGTTCGAGGCAATGCCTGCTCAAGAAGCCCTCATACTCGTAGGGTTAAGGCAATAAAATGGCGTTTATCAGAAGGGGATGGATGGCAACTACCATAATCGAAGAAACAGGCCGGTGTTGACAAGGCACAAAGTGAACTCGAGAAAATCGAGAATAAAGTCATTTTTTTCTGATGCATTAGATGATATAATAGATCGATTCAAGAAAGTATACTTTAGAACAAGTCTAGTTTTCATTGAGGTATAAAATACGTGTGTTTAGGTTTGAGGAATAGTCTACCCCTTGTTCATGAACATCACAATCTAGGCCTTTCTTAATACCGGATGTCGAGCACACGGTTTATGAGTTATTTGTAAAGCGCTTATAATGGCCGGATGTTAAGTACACGACTTTTTTATAGGCGATCCTAGGATACCTTTTTATAGACGATTCTGAAGAGAATGTCTTTTCAAGGACGATCCTGAAGAGGATATCCGTGAGGAAATTGGATACGAGCTCCTCGAGTTTAGACTGTTAGTCATAACAGTTAAGGGCAGCATGACCCAATGATTGTCCAAATGTTGAATACACAGAACTTTCGAGGACGGTCCTGAAGAGGATGTCCGTCTCGAGAATGGTCTTAAAGAGGATGTCCATCCAAATGACTAGTCATATTTAACTGGGTGTAACTGGGTATATATGATACGCCAGCTCCCATGAGTATTCGAGTGGGTTACCACTATGTGCATTAGACTGATAGTCTATATCCTGGGTTTAAAGTATAAATGCCCTAAGGTCAGAGGGAACTTGTTGTTGCTATTGTCCTCGAGGGATCAGCTGCGAGAGTTACGTATCTCTGCTTATT